GGGCAGAACGCCTTCCTCTTCCGCGGCTAACCGCCCTTGCCTCAAGTTTTCTGCTAACACTCGACTAGCGAGCTCACCCGCGCTGATTGCAACTGTCCGCTCGTAGCCCCGCTGGACCGAATCGATGCACATCACCTTCCTCGAGAATTCGCCACCAAGCCGCAGTGGTGTCGGATGACGCATGATGGACAGCAGCGCGGGGAGGCAGACTACCGATGAAGTTGGAACTCGAACCACGAACCTAACCGATTAATCTTGCAGTCGAACATTCGGTCGGGCCATATTGATGAGGACACACAGCACGGCGAACGCTGCGACGCGATAGACCAGACAAGGTACTATTGGCGCCCGCCAGAGTAGCCTCAGATGACAGTGTTTTGGCCTTCCAGACGGCACGAATGAGAAAAAACGAAACAAACAAAAACAAGCAAAAGAAGTGTATCGCTAGCATGGCACCCCTGCGCGTGCGCATTCCGCTCGGCGCGTCTGCTCTGGCCTCGACCACCCCTGGCCTCGACGCACGCTGGATTGAACACAGCACCAAAATTTTCTCCGCTTCAACGCGTTCATAAATTGGTTCTTTCACCGTTGAGGCACGGCACTGGGTCATCAACGACGAAGCAGTGTTTAAGCAATACAGGTAGCGCAAGTTCCAAGTTCTACATGACGCGGCACACCCAAAATACGAGTTCACAGACGATTGTGTCTCCCATAAAGAAGCATGGGAAACCGGGCCTGCGACAGGCTACCATTAGCCGTAGTGCCTACATACCAGCGCCGCGTTCAGGGTGAGGACAGCCGCCATATTGTGTCAAACTTTCAGCTGCTATTGTCGTTGCTGTCTTGAGTCAATGTAGTTCAAATTACTCTAAAAACACAACTTTTCCGCGCACGAATTACATCCACAGATTTCAAGGAAATAGAACCCGATGTGGCTTTGCCGCGTCAGATCGACCCAAGTAAAGGGGTCAATGGGTGTCTCCACCCTAGAAGTGGCGCTAGCATCGAGGCACCCTAATTGGATGGATGGATGAATACGGCTGAGCCCTTTGGATCGGGCGGTAGCTTACGCCACCTAGCCATTTAAGTTTAATTAGCCGCATATCGAGGGGCCATCTGGTGGCACCGCTTGCAACCTAGGCGAGGAGAGGATTTTATCAGGAAGCTTCGACGCGCGCGGTGCCCACATTTATGAGTATCTTACACCGTGCTTCAAACCAACCCTCTCCCGCGTTTAACATCAAGCGCAATAAAATACCATGCTCATGTGCGAATAAAAATAAATAGAAGCTGAATCAGTAAAAGCATGAAAGGTCATGTTCAGCAGTGGTACAATTCTTTAGAAGGGGGAGTAGTGGCAAAAGCAATGCCAGCACCAATGGGAGCAGCTGTGCCGAAAAAAGCAGACGGCCGCATGTGGCGCTGCGGTCGACAACTGGAGGAGAAAACGGCTGCATCGGTTCCTTCTTCTCGCGTTAGCAGCCATCGGGTGCTTTTGGCGAACGCCGCTTGTCCAAAATATGGGATATGTACTGACCACTAAAAAGCACCAAGTGCTGAAGTGATGGTATTTTAGGTTACACAAGGCTGCATTTCTTCGTTAAGTCGTTCAATCGCGCCGGAGTACAAAAGCCTGACGCGGCAAAATACCTGAAGCTCAGTCCCAGTTTTGTCATCGGAAAAATATACTACATTACTTCAGTAGTTTCAGTACTTTCAGCAATTTATACTTTTGTAATTGTGCCATGCCATTCTGTCATGTGTAACTAATTGTATTATTTCCCTAAATGCTTCCACTTGATCTTCTTTGTTTTATTTTATTTTTGTGTATCATTATTGTGTTTGCCTGACATAATGTTTTTCTCATTTGCCTCCGTTTTTGGACGCATAAGGTCGGGTGCAGCTCTTAATGTATATGTTTACAAGCTATTTTTGTATGGTGCATGCGTGGCATAGCTTCTTAGCCCAATATCATCTTCATGTAGAATTTACCCATTTTCTTGGGACGTTGGAAAGTTAAACTGCCAAAACTTTTGCCCCTCATTTTTTTGATCGTGTTCTTAGCTAGATTAATTTCCAAGTTTAAATAACTGTTATTTGTAGTCAGGGTAAAAAAAAATAAAGAATTACTATTAAAAAAATCAAATTTGTTTGGTTTAAACCAAAATTATTTGATATAAATCTAGCTTTCATGATTTAAATCACTTAAGCTAGAAGTTTCAAGTGACTTTTTATCACTAGATGTGTTTTGTTTTATGGCTGTCTGATATAAATTCCTACTGATTGAAAATCATTTGCCTAAAATACAAAATAAATGCCCATGGGAGGCAAACACTAATAAACTGTAAATAGAAAATATTTTCAGTATTATTTTAGAGTAAAATTATTTTATTTTCTTCGTTAGAGTCGAATCTTTGGGATTTAAATTATAATAGTCAAACCGATACGATTTAAATCATTATAGCGAAATCGATACGAATTATATCATAATTAAAATTATGAATTAAATCATCTTGCTTTTTATTCTCCATCCTGTCAAGGTACAATTATGTCAAAGCATGTACAAAAATTCCTTCTTTTTTTTTGTTTGTTTGCTTTTTTTGCGCTGCGGCAAAGCAAGGAAGGAAGTATTTTCATGGGGAGTTACGACTACATATCAGTAGAATACCAAGAATTTAAGAACATGAGCGTTGAACAACTTCAGCATATATAAAAAGTTAGCAGCTAAGAAAACCAGGCATAGCTTGAATTTCCGTCTCCAGCTTGCAAGCCAGTCCACATGTCCGCCAGTAAAGGACATAACACTAAAATTGTATATGTGGTTCAGTAGTTTTTATTTATCGGGCAGAAGTAAACTGAAGAGAAATGCAGCCGTGTTTTTTTTCTCCTGAATAATTAACTTCCCATCACCGAACCCTCAATTTATGTCGGAATGTAAAGTCAGAAGAGGGATGCAGTCAACAGAGCGTGCGAATGCACGGACGTGAATAGCCTCTGCTATTAGAACTGGATAATTTTTTTTTTTTAATCTAAACTTTCCGGACATTGCTCACAACTCATATCACGCTCAGTTCTGTAAGTTGGCCTCTGATCCGAACCACCAGAGCTACATTCGGGTGTAGACTGAGCTGACCGAGCATTCGCCTATGTGTAGTTTATTTTTGTTGTAGCGGCATAGCCATGTAGTGTTTCAAGCTTGCCACTTTTGTCGCGTTGAACACCAAGAAACACATTGCCACCGCATGACGCCTTCTAAGCATCTGAAACGCTATTTCGTTCAGTCTGACGAATGCAGATTATGATCAAATAGTGTACTGTCATAAAAACATCACGTGATAGAACCAAGAGCAAGTAGCCGACGCCCGATCTTGCTAGCGCTACTGCTGGATGAATGGATGAATCCGGCTGAGCCCATTGGATCGGGCGATAGCTTACGCCACCTAGCCATTTTGCTTTACCATTTAAGCTTAGAATATTTAAATGTGAAGACTATATTCACTCCGCACTGCAAAGAAAGTGAGGCTATAAAGTCCCCTTGCCATCAGTTAATAAGAAAATACCTAGCTTTCTCTCGATTTCCGCCACCATTCACCTAATCTTTGCTTGGTAATATCTAGTGACTTGAAATCCACTCTTCCTTCGCTGTCTCTAAAACCCAATGACTTTATTAAATCTATGTTGTCTTCGGTAGGCATAGGGTGAAGCCCTTTACAGTAGAGTATCAAGTGCTCAGCCGTCTCGTCCTCCTCTCCACAAGCAGTACACACTGTATCTGGGGGAGACTGCACCAGCGCCACACAGCGGCATCCTCTACGAAGGCCTCTCGGAGAGCGTGCCGCGTTTGCTACTACACAGCAGGAAATATTTTCGGGGGGGGGGAAGGGGGGGGGGGGATTTCTATGATCGGAGGGGGGGGGGGGGGGTCTCATTTAAGCGTGTAGTATTGGATGTACTGTGTAATTCACGGTTACGGACACGGCCGCCCACAACCCGCCGGTTGGCTGGAACGATTTGGCCGACGTTCAATATTTATCTTCCTTTACTAAAAAAAAAATAAAAAAGTTATAATTTCTCTGGAAAAAGGGGGGGGGGGGGAAGAGGAGGGGCAGAGATGGGGTTGACCCCTTCAAACCAACCCCCTGCCTACGCAACTGATTTTTAGCCTTTCAGATCGAACTATATTTCGTTTTATTGCACGTCTGAGGCACAAACACATTAAGGCCACAAACAGAGATACTAAAATCGCAGGTCAATGGGCCTTCCTTGCAGAGGATTGGTTTATCGATTATAGAACACGTACATAAACATGACGTTGCGCATTTGACGTGGTTTGATTGGTCCCAACGGCTCGTAGCGTTGGGACTTTTTAATTGTACTTTTTAATTGTAGTAAAAAAAAGAAAGACGCGAGGAAACTTTACAGTTGCCCGGCAGCTTTGCCTATAAACTAAAGGTTCAATATCAAGAATGTAGCAGGCTTCCGACTGCAGGCCATGTCATCAAAGACTCGGGTATTCTTCGTCTCACCTTACGATGGACTAAAGGCAAAAGCTACGGACCGCCAGATCCAATCACGAGCCACTTAGAAGTTGTGCGATATTTCGCTTCGAATCACGTCTCGTCTTCGCTTCGAAGCACCGTGTCTCGGATAACTGATGAGGGAACAGGTGGACAGTGGTTCGAATTGAAGAGCCCTAAGTGACTGAACAATTTTACATTGCAAAGAAAGCCACGACATATAGTCTCTTTGCAGGGTCGAAGCTATAGAAATGATGCGGCGCTTTTGGATTCGAGCACTATTCGTCCACCCCTAAGCGTGTCATAGTATAGCGTGGAACGGGATTGGACCTGGCGGCCCGTGGCTTTGGCCTTTAGTCCATCGTAGGATGAGACAAGGTATAGCATTGCTGTGAAGTATCATTTGGGCAAAGTTTGTTTGCAGTTCTTCATATGTTGCCGCCTCCTTCTTGATAGCACTGATAAGTTCCCGTTCTTTTACAGACCCCTACCAGGTGTTTGGACCAACGAGTAGCCGCTTGGCCAGTTCAGGTGAGTTCACGCATCGCTAACTTCCAGTCTTTGATTGCAAAATGCAATGAAAGCATGCAGTTTATTGAACCAAATGGTACACCCGTGAGCAATATAAAGGTGAACAGCCCTCTTCTTGTTTTTGACGCTCCTGCAAGTTTTGGAACAAGCCCTGTTCCAGAAGAGGGCTAGAACGCAAAGTTTAGACCCTTGGCCACGTACCATTTGAGATGTTGAGAGTTAATATAGCTTTAGGGAGCCGTAAAACAAGCAAGAAACCAGGTAACGTGTGCACCTTCATATTGCCGGCGGGTGTACCTTTCAAACATTGTATTTTATTTCTACCGTAAGAGATCTCATTTTATAAATTATACAGAGCTTCCTGGAATTACGTTGAAATCGATGCAACAGAAAGAGCGAAGAAGTATGAAACCCCTCATATCTGCGTGCCTCACCGCCCCTACCAGAAATAAAGGCGCCATTGGTTATTTCCCATGATCTTGCCTGCACCAGAATACTCTCGATTCTGGTTATTTGTGTGTGAGAGCAAGTGCGCGTGTAAAGTTCTATGTTGGCAGGCAAAATTCTTGACGCACATTATGACACGGCTCTTGAAAATCCATTTGCAAAGACCAACAACTAACGTATGCAGGTTAGAGGCTAAGTAAGCTACCGGAGTTCAAGGGTATGACACTTGTTTTCTCGGCGGCGGCGTGGTGCAGGCAGCGGCCAGATCCAGCTGTGGCAGTTCCTCCTCGAGCTGCTTTCGGACAGCAGTAACGCCAGCTGCATCACCTGGGAAGGCACCAACGGCGAGTTCAAGCTCACCGACCCGGACGAGGTGGCGCGTCGCTGGGGCGAGCGCAAGAGCAAGCCCAACATGAACTACGACAAGCTTAGCAGGGCGCTCCGATACTACTACGACAAGAACATCATGACCAAGGTGCACGGCAAACGGTACGCGTACCGCTTCGACTTCCAGGGCCTGGCGCAGGCCACGCAGCCGCCGTCGGCCGCCGCCGCCGCGGCCGCGGCCGCCGACCCGGCCGCCTACAAGTACCACCACCACCAGTCGTCGGCGAGCGACTTGTTCGGCTACCACACCAGCCCCAAGCTCAACTTCCCCTCCACGACGGGATCGCTGTTCCCGTCGCCGAGTCCGTACTGGACGTCTCCCAACAACCTGTACGCTTCGTCGCACCACTCCATGCCCCACCCGGGACACATCGGCTCGTACCCGCACTACGCGTGACTCCCGAGGTAGACCCTCGGAGGGGAGGCGAGCCCCGCGCGCCGGCCTCGACGCCGGCGCTCACGCGCGTCGGACTCACGCGCCGTTACGGCGCTCGGCCGAGCGCTCCGCAGATGCCGCCGCGCGGCGCGCTCTTTATTTTTCTATAGAATTCTACGGGAATCTATGGAAAGACGCACAACACGGGAGGCCTGCACGCGGCGACGGCGGGGACGCTTGTTCTAGTCACGAGGTACACGAAACGGGGCAGCCGACGTCCCTCGAGAAGACGGGAGGTTTGAACTCGGCGTTCACTCCGGACGTGAACCTCCCTTCGGTGCCGGTTATAGATGGATTGTTGCGAAGCTTGCACCCCGCGCGACGGATATGCACTTTGTGTTTCAGGAGTTCCGGTGACAGGGTTAGCGGTTTGACCTATCGGAGACTGTCGTTTCGAACCTGCGGGCGCCATACCCGTTTTGCGGGGCGCGAGGCGCTGCGATTTGATCGCATTAGAAACCGTCCGTTTGCGGCGCTCTGCGCGACCGCGAAGTGGCCAAAGACATTATTTCTCTCTGGACTAAGAGGAAACACAGTTTATCCCGTTGTTGTCTTTCAAACACTTGCCCCCGCGTTTCTAGACGTCAAAGTCTCCTTAAAGTACATAGAAATGACAGTAAAAAAAAATGCGAGCAGAACAAAATTAGCGCAATAAATTAACAACAATTTAGTTCGAGGTCTGTAAACCAAAAACAAAAAAGCAAAGTTACAATAAATGTCTGAACGAAAACCACAAGAGATTTAAAAAAACAATAGAAACCGAGTGATAATATTAAAGCAGCTTACAGTTCACGAGCGACATGGGTCAGGTTTACCTCCGTAAAAGCGTCCCCGCCAAAGGCGTCCCCGCCCGTCAGGCAGGCTTGCGTATCTCTTTGAGAACCTGCAGCCGGCGTTCCCGCAGTATTGACAACGACCGGGCAAACCAAGAACAGCGTCCATCCACGAGTTCGACGCTGCAGAATCCCCCCCACGGGCTCCTGTTTTGTCTGGCGCGAGAGCGACTTCAAATTCTTCCGCACCGTCAGAAGTTACCCCAATCATAAACAAACAAAAAAATATAACGAAGCCCTAAGTATCTCAGCGTAATAGTGATTTGTATATTAGTCAACAACCAGCGGTACCCCTGCGACGTGCGACAACCGTTTTCACATTACTAGAACACGACTGCGTTAACGTCGTGCAATACGAATGGTCCAAATTAAATAAATAAACAAAAAAGGTGCGAAATGTTAACTGCGTCGTTTAACTTTTCAAAATATTTGGGAATTAATTTCACAGGCTATGTGAATCCTCCAAAATTTCTCTCATCTGCGAAGCACTCTGGTCAAAAAACACTGACGAAAGCCATCTCAAAGGAGGAGTCAGCCTATCGGTTTGACTTAAGGGCGACCGCCCGTCGGAGTCCCAGGATGGAGATGGCGGTACGTGGACAGCTGTCGACGCTCTCGCCAAAGACAAGGCGTTTCCGGAGGTGCCCTTCCCGGTAGAACTAAAGAGTCGTGCCAGTCAGGATCCTCGGCTCGCGAGGTCGTCCCCGAGAAAGGTCACCGTCGTCCCGGCGGTCGCACGGAGAGGAACACCGGGTAACCCTAGTGCTTGAGGTAACGTTCTTGTCGTGCTATGGCGTCGTCCTGCGACGACGGTGGCCCGGGGGACGCCAGCACCGCTTCCAAACGCCCCTAGAAAGAAAGGACCGGATCCTTAAACGCGCTTCCCCTGGGAATGCGCCGAACGATTAGGTAGGGAGCGTACACAATGCGCGTTCTGACGAGGTTTACAGATGTCGGGGAAAGGGACGCCTTGCGACGTCGAAGGCTAACCCCGGTATCAACACGAAGCGGACACGTATTTCTTTAAGCACAACCGACAGCGCGCTATGTTCGTTTGTTTTATGAGCGGCGAACACATCTTTTGCGCACATCGGGTGCTGCATCTTTGTCTCAGATTGCGAATTCATGCATTGGCTCATGTTCGCCCGACCTTTCTTTTTTCTTTTTTTTTTGTCGTAATGTGCCGAAGAGCCAATTTTCGAGTCTGGTATTACGATCGTCCGATTATTCCCGTTTCATCCATTTCCGGCGCATTTTTATTTGGAGGCCGATTTCTTATACGAAGCCTCGCCAGGTGGTCAAAAGAGCCTCTTCCCGATCGTCGAATCTCGGGCGGGGAGTCGGGAGAAAAGGAAGAACGCGAAGCAGTTTATAGGTGCCACAACCAGCCTCGGTGTGTCATCGGACGAAAACCTCCGACTGTGGACTCTTGTTGTGCTGTGATCAATGCGACATCGACAAGAACTGTAACGGCACATGGATGCCGGTCGGCTCTTCGTGTGCCAGTCGACACGTCTCTCAAAAGGCACCACCTGCCCTCGGTGTTCCTGCGTGTTTCGAGTAATTTCGGAGGGCCCAGTAGTGATGCCCGATAACGTACCCTGCCACTGCACGAGTCTTGTACATAGGGGAATTTCAAAGCGCCACTGATCCAAGGGTTGTTAATATTACGCCGCGACGTCGAGTGAGCGTGCACGGCGTCTGTGGTGTTTGTTCTCTTCGAACGATGTCGATCAAAGCGAACTGGTCCCAAACTGATTGTTCGAGAGCTGTCTAGTGGTTCAGTGTCCGATTGTCTACAAAGCTGTTTGTGTTTGCGCGTCTCGATGGGATCTATACAAACGAAAAACACGGGGTTGTTTTCACCGACAGAGCCGAATGGTGCCACTCTGAAATGACGGTAAAACTGTACGAGCACTCGCTTTTTGGGAGTGCTCGTACATTTTACCGCTTGCGGCAGTGGGAGGCAACGGAAGGAAAGAAAAAAAAAGAATTTGAGATGTTACTTTCTTCATTTATTTTTATTTTGTGTGTAAAAGTTTGATTGTCTGTCGAATTGGTTCAGAAGCACCTTTTACGCGCATATATTTTCCCAAACCATGTGCATAAGCATGCTTAACCTTGTGTTTTTTTTTTTTAACTTGAACCATCTTTTAGCAGTGTCAAACACGAGCATTTGTATTTTCAACTGCGTCTAGTCATTGCTCAACTGCAAATGGTTGCGGTTGCTTTAGTCGCAACTTAAAAATTACATTTTTTCGTTTTCATTTTATATCTAGTCTTAGGTTGGGTGTGAAAGTGTTCCAGTGACGTTCTTGAGATAATGCGCATCTCAACCAACAAATGATACACGCAAAGTAAAATGAACGGAGAAGCGAACAACTGTGTACATGTCGCAATGGACGATAAAACGACAAGGAAATCTAATTTAAATATATATTATATTAAAGCACACAACCATACACACATACACACATACAAACACAAATGTGCGTAAATAAATTGAAGACGTGTGTAATATAGTTCTTGTATCATATTCTGCGGATAACGGTGTTGTTTTGTTAACTTATTTTGTGTCACAATAAAGAAACCGACCAGTTTCCTAAAGGACGAATGGTTTGTGAATTATTTGTCATGTTTTTGTGTGTTTCATTCCAGCTGACACAGGTTACTGCCCCTAGCTTTTGTAAGATCCAAGAGAATCGGGTGAAACACTGGGCTAGTGATTGCGTGCATATAAACGTGAACACACGCACAAAATTAATAGGGAAAGACAAAAATCTAACTGGCAACGGGGATAACAGAGAAGGGACGGGGACGGGACAGATGAGGATTCCTCAAACGGGTACGCTAAATGCAGCGGGAAGTTAACAAGCAGGGCTGGCAACCCAACCCCCGACACAAAGACATCTTCGCCCTATTTACTTCGCCCTCCTCCCCTCCCTTCCATCGGGGGTGGAGGACGGAGCCGACAGAGAAAGGGGAAGTCCCTTCTCGCTCCAGACTGCACGCCGTCTCCCAACAGCAACGGTGGCGATCTCTATCGCATCGCAGCCATCTTTGATTTATTGCGTCACGCGGCATCCGCGACGTAATCGCATACGCTAACAAACACGTCGGCGGCCGTAGTGCGCGTGTGTGTGCGTGTGTGCGCGTGTGCAGGGTGCGGGACGGGGAATCCAATATGGCGGACACGGACTCACTCCTCTCCCCGACGAGGGGATCGGGATTGCGCCTCTAGAGAGTCACCCTGCCGGAACGAATCATCCGAGCGAGAGACGACGTGGAACGTCATCGATCACGCAATGAACGTCGGACGTGACGGTGAACGTCGAGGGCCCGATGTAGGGCGCCACGTTTCATCCGCGTCGTGAGTGTGGCTGTTTGTGTCCGTGATGAAGACCCTTGTCGTGCCACTTCCGCCGACGGAAAGCTGCAAGGTCGAATACATATGAGTTCGGACACGCTTTTATCAAACTCTCCCCACATTACAGCATCGGCGGTTTCTGATTCCCTGTTCGGACAAACACTTGTAATAAGAAAGGTGAATATAGTTTTGTTCATACTTCAGTCAGTCTCGGCAGCAACGTACTTTTGTTTCACAAATCGTACACACGAACTAGCGAGCGAAGGGAAGCCATGTGGTCGATCACGTCCACGGCGTTCGAAAAGGTCAGTTCGGACGATCATTCGTCAAAATGAAACCGCCAAAATTACGGTGAGTGTGAGAATTAAATGTTTTCATGTTCGTTTACCTTCGGTCATGGAAAGTCTAACCCTTGCCAAAAAAGAAATTTCTGTATTTCTTTTTTTGTTTTTCTTTTTGCTGTTAACTATATCAAGATGTACAGAAGAAGAAAAAAAAACACTCATTCACCTTCAAGTTTTCTCAACATGTTTCGTGGGGAGTGAATTTTTGCGGAAACGCATATGCAAGACCATACAGGCTGCCTCCGTAAGTTGCGGTGATTGGCTCTTCGACTGTTGTGCGGGAAAGCACACGCACTGAAGTTTTTTAGAGCGTGGCACACTAGGGGCCCTAAGCTGGACACGGCGAAAACGTCGGCGAGAAATCCGTTGGCCATGATTGGCCGGCGCCTTATTTGACCTTTCGCAGGTCAATAACCC